TCTCTGGATTAAATTCTAACTGCTCTGAAGATACCTGTCCTCTTAAACGCATAAATCAAAAGAGTAACTCAAGCAAGTATTAACACAAACTAAAAACTAAATAATAATAATAATAATAATAATAATAATAATAAAACAAAAACAGAAATAAAAATAAAATACTCAATAAGCTAAACAAAGAATTCTCAAAGAACACCGTTCCCCGGCAACGGCGCCAGAAATACTTGTTGAATTATTGGCAAGCGTACCAAAATTATCAATCGCAATATAGTATTTCAATTAAATAAAAGTCGATCTCACGAGGAACAGCTTTCAATGGAAATTCCCATTTATGCTTACTAAGTAGATTAAACAGATTGAGTTTTGCAAATAAGAGTTGAATTGAAATTAAATGACAAAGACTGTAAATTGTTGAGAAAATATCAATTAAAGTTACTTAGGATTGACTTCCTTCCTCATCCCTCTTTTGTAATGGCTATGTCAATTAAGAACGTCAATTAACCTAACAATGTTGATGCCACCTATTCAAATCATCCATGTTGATTCGTCACGCATGAAATTCATAAGAAAACCTAATAAATGTTGATTCCTCACACAATTAAGAGATTTTCTAGCATTAGGTTTAGGGTGTTTAAGCAATTGATACATTCATTCTATTCCTGATAATTAACGTAACAAATATTCTTACTGTGATATAGGGTTCAAGATATATTTTCCAATCATACCTCAAACAATCAAGAATAAATAATTCCAAAGCATAAAGGATAAGAATAACAACATCAAAGCATAGATTAATATCTCAAAATATCACCATGATATAAAAAAGTTCAAAGGAAGTGCACCGAATCCTAAGAGAATGAAGTTAGCCACTCATGTTGGCCATTACAATGCTTTAATTGATGAAAAAGTGAAGAATTGATAAAGATTGGACAAAACCCTAACAGTAGTTGTGTCTCCTCCTCTCCAAGACTGCTTGCTTTCTTAAAACACATCTTATCTTTTATAAGAAAATTTGGGTCAGGCCTCGCATCTTTCATTCGCTTTTAATTTTACTCCAATTATACTGACAATTGTGCTCCTTACTCTTGTATCAAGGTATTCTCGAATTCATCCTATATTGGGAGAAAAATATATTAGAATTAACATAAGTTAAGTTGTTTCATAACAATTCAAGGTATAATTATATCAACTTTTTACCACTTAACACATTTGCAGTACCTGACTGTTAGTATTATGGTGCTTGATTTAGTCCCACATCGATTAGGATTGTGAGATGAGGTTCTCTATTTTGTTATATAAGCAACCCTATGTAAAGTTTGAGATACACACAGAAATAAAAATTACTTCCTAGTGTAGTCGTGGACGTAGGCATACATATTTTAGCCGAACCACGTTAAAATTCTTGTGTCGTTTATTTTTCTCTTTAAGGTTGGAATATGTCTGACATTATTCAAAGTCCACACGTTTCCATTAGAGGTTCTGATGTTAATATCACCTCTTCCTATGACATCAAGAGCCAATTTTTGAAGTACAAGGCGGAGAAAATCTTGTATGCAAGCTTCATAAAAGTTTGTACGGATTAAAACAAGCGCCGAGACAATGGTACAAGAAGTTTAATGAGTTTATGAGAAACTCAAGATTTCGCAGATGTGAAGAAGATCACTGTTGTTATGTGAAGAAATATGTTGATAGCTATATCATTCTTGCCTTATATGTTGACGACATGTTGATTGTTGGAGCTAATATGGCAGAAATTGACAAGTTGAAGAAACAATTGTCAGAGAGCTTTGAAATGAAGGATCTTGGTCCAGCCAAGCAAATTCTTGGTATGAGAATCTCCCGAGATAGAGATAAAGGTATTTTGAACTTATCTCAAGAAAAATATATAGAAAAATTGCTTAGCAGATTCAATGTTGGGAATGCTAAAACCAGGAATACACCTTTGGGAACTCACTTAAAGTTTTCAAAGAGGCAATCTTCTCAAACAGAAGAAGAAGAAAGTCACATGTCTAAAGTGCCATATGCATCTGCAGTAGGAAGCTTGATGTATGCTATGGTTTGCACCGGACCGGACATAGCACATGCAAGTGGGAGTTGTGAGCAGATTTCTATCAAATCCCGGAAAGGAGCATTGGGAAGGAGTGAAGTGGATATTCGGATATTTGAAAGGCACTTCAAAGATGCATTTGTCTTTCAAGAGAAGTAATCTCATTTTACAGGGGTTTTCCGATGCGAGACTTGGGAGGTGATCTTGACGGTAGAAAGAGCACAACAGGTTATATTTTTACATTGGGTGGTACAGCTATCGGTTGGAAGTCTAAACTTCAAGGAAGGGTCTCTCTCTCAACCACTCGAAGCAGAGTATGTAGCTATCTCGGAAGCGGCGAAGGAGATGATATGGTTGAAGAACCTTCTAAAAGAATTAGGAAGAGAACAAGATGGTTCTCCGTTGTTTAGTGACAGTCAAAGTGCTATTTGTCTTGCTAAAAATCCAATCCTTCATTCCAGATGTAAGCACATTGAATTGAAGTATCATTTTATCGAAACCCGATAAATGATGGAGACTTGAGTTTGTTGAAGATTCCGGATGCGAGAGAATCCCGTCGATATGTTGACCAAGACTGTTACAACAACTAAGTTGAGGCTTTGCATTGCCTCAACTGGCCTTCGAGCAAATTGATGATGAAGGCACTACACTAGGTGGTAACGTAAATCAAACTCCAAGTGGGAGAATTGTTAGTATTATGGTGCTTGATTTAGTCCCACATCGATTAGGATTGTGAGATGATGTTCTCTATTTTGTTATATAAGCAACCCTATGTAAAGTTTGAGATACACACAGAAATAAAAATTACTTCCTAGTGTAGTCGTGGACGTAGGCATACATATTTTAGCCGAACCACGTTAAAATTCTTGTGTCGTTTATTTTTCTCTCCTTCATTCTTTCTTTTATTATTGTCTTGTTCCTAACACTGATCTCATTATAACAACAACAAATCCAAACCTAAATGCAACCTCTTAAACCCATTTAAGTAAATTGTCTATGTAGCAAATATTTACAACAATAAATATAAAAATCTCTATATATGACATTTATAAGTTATGACATTAATATATAACTAAAACTTTATCTCATTGTGAATGCTTAAGTATAATCAATTAAATTATTAAGAATGTGTTTCACTATATTATCGAAAACCATTAACATGTCAACTTTATCTAATATATTATTTAAAAAATCTTCTTCTATTACACCTGTAAATCATCATTTTTTTAACACAATTACAAAGTGTGAGGTCTAGAATAAGATTTTTGAATTCGATTTTTAAAAATACATTCCAGAATAGTGGATCCGAACAAGAGTTTTGAATTTGATTTTTAAGAAACACATTTTGAAATGGTGGATTAATTCAGAACAAGATTTTCAATTTAATTTTCTAAAAACACATTTCAAATTGGTAGGTATAGAACACCATTGTCATATTTGATTTTTTAGAAATACATTCTAAATTGGTGGATTTGAAATAAATTGAAGAATATAGACTTGTATTCAAAATCCATTCAAACTGAGTTTCTAAAAATTCATATGCAAAAATCTTGTTTAGACTTTTAATATTTAGAATTACTGTATCTGGTAACAAATATTAGAAATTAAAATAATTTAAGATTCTTATTTTTTTAACAAAATTTTTTAATTGATAATAATAGTTGAAGTAACATGAAAGTAAGATTTAAAAATCAGAAATAAACACTTAAAAGAAAAAAATAAATATAAATATAAATATAAATATAAATATAAAAATAAAATAAAATATATTTTAATTACGATAGTGTATAAAAAAATTATGAAAATACAGGAAATAACAACCTAAATAAAAAGTGTCATGAATCCCATGCAAAGGCCCCGAACTATTCTGCCGCAGACTTTGGGTAAAGTGGAGGGTAGGATCGTCATTAGAGAAGTATAGTGGAGAGAGAGATGAAACCGGTATCTCACACTTGGGTTTTTTGCAATTGAATGACACTATTGTAGAAAGGGGTAGGGTTGGAATGATTGCGGTTTTGGTTTCATCATTTCCCTCCAGTTTTTCCACATGCTCGCTGCTTCCCATATCCGTATATTTATTTTAATGGAGAATGTTGAAACTGCATTAATTTTATTTTTTATTTTTCCCCGCTCCACCAGATTCCAGTACTTCTTTAAAAGCCTCTAACCGATTCCCATCAAAACAAATATCAGAACAAAAGCCCCCAAACCTCTCCCTCTGTCTCTCCACCACTGTTCCTCATTCTTTCTAGGGTTTTTCTGTTTCTCTTCGTGATTGCTTTCTCCCTCAGGTATACATTCCGTTCGTTTCATCGTTTCTCTCTCTTCATTGTTTGTTTCGGATATGTTTGTTATATTATTATTTTTTTCTCGGGGTTTTAGGGTTTTTCCCAATTTTATTTTATTTTTCTTTCATGCGTCGTACCGTTTTTGCTCTGTTTTGTTATGCGTGAATTTTAAGAAAAATAATCAATGTCCCGATTCATTGATTTCTCCCCGAACTGGATCTTTGTAATTTCATTCGCTGCTATTTATCCTATTGAAATGTTCGTCCTTGATGTTGAAACAACATTTTTCTTCGAAACACTGGATCCATCATATTTTAGGTCCGTGCGATGTACCTTTTGTTTTGAAAACGCACAAGGTCGTTTTCTAGATTTTGTACCGTAGTTGTTGGCTTTGGCAAATAATTATTAGATTTTAGATTTTTCTAACTCTTAATGGCAATCAATAACCGAATTTTGCAACAGTAGGCACTATTCATATTGCAACTCTTCGATTTAAATTTTGTAGGGTATATGTTTTATTCTGTTTTCTTATTATTGTTAATGTTTCAAATTCAAGATTTCCATAAGCATTGCCTGTCTTCTATTTGTTTCATGGTTGTAGTGAAATATATGGTTTTGATAGAAACCTGTCATTGCTGTCACACTTGTTTCCAGGTTGTCTGGATATGGATTCTACTGGGCAGGCATACCAACATCGCCCCGTTACCATAAGATTATGGCCACCCAGCCAGAGTACTAGGCTTATGCTTGTTGAGCGGATGACCAAGAACCTTACAACTCCTTCAATTTTCTCTAGAAAGTACGGACTGCTTAGCAAAGCAGAGGCTGAGGAGGACGCGAAGCAGATTGAGGATGTTGCTTTTGTTTCTGCAACCCAACATTTTGAGAAGGAGCCCGATAGTGATGGGAGTGCTGCTGTGCAAATTTATGCGAAGGAATCAAGTAAGCTTATGTTGGAGGCTTTGAAAAGAGGGCCAAGAGTGAAGGACGATGGAGATGTTATATCTGACAAGGCTGGTACAACCGCTGAAACTGTTTTTGACATATCTGGTGGTGCTAGAGACTTTATTAAGGGGGAGGAGGAAGCTGCAGAGCTTTTGAAACCACTGAGGGGACCAAACTCTTATACCAAGATAATCTTCAGCAATAAAAGTTTTGGCTTGGATGCTGCCCATGTTGCTGAACCCATCTTAATATCAGTCAAGGATCAATTGAAAGAGGTAGACCTTTCAGATTTTATTGCTGGAAGACCGGAAGAAGAAGCCCTTAAAGTGATGACTATATTTTCATCTGCATTGGAAGGTTGTTCTTTGAGGTATCTGAATCTGTCAAATAATGCCATGGGTGAAAAGGGGGTTAGAGCTTTTCGGTCACTCCTCAAATCTCAAAATAACTTAGAGGAGCTTTATTTGATGAATGATGGCATATCAGAGGAAGCTGCCAAAGCAGTTTCTGAATTGCTTCCTTCAACTGAGAAGCTCAAGGTTCTTCATTTCCATAGTAACATGACTGGGGATGAAGGTGCAATTGCTATTGCTGAAATTGTGAAAAATTCCCCAGCTTTGGAAGATTTTCGGTGCTCATCTACCAGAGTAGGCTCTGATGGTGGAGTTGCCCTTGCTGAAGCACTCGGGGCGTGTAAGCATTTGAGGAAGCTTGACTTGCGGGACAATATGTTTGGGCCAGAAGCTGGAGTTGCTTTGAGTAAAGTTATACCTGCATTTACAGATCTTACAGAGATAAATCTCAGTTATTTGAACTTGGAGGATGATGGTGCAGAAGCCCTTGCTAACGCCCTCAAGGAATCTGCACCGTCACTTGAAATTTTGGATTTGTCTGGGAATGACATTACCGCAAAAGCTGCTGCTTCTCTGGCTGCCTGTATATCATCAAAACAATTCCTTTCCAAGTTAAATTTATCTGAGAATGAACTGAAGGATGAAGGTGTAGTTTTGATCAGCAAGGCACTGGAAGGTGGTCAGGGCCAATTAATTGAAGTTGATTTGAGCACAAACTTGATCACGTGGTCCGGAGCTAAGCTTGTGGCTGAAGCTGTTGTGGGAAAACCGGGTTTTAAGAAGTTAAACATTAATTCTAACTTCATTTCTGATGAAGGAATTGTTGAATTGAATAATATATTTAAAAACTCACCTGATATGCTGGGACCTTTGGATGAAAATGATCCTGAAGGAGAAGACGCTGATGAGGGGGCCGAAGAAGATGGCGATCATGATGAATTGGAATCAAAGCTGAAGGGTCTTGGAATTTAGGAAGATTCTTAGGAACAACATGCAAATTTTACTTAAGATTAATTTGTAGGCCAATTAATATGTTCTACGGACGTACGTGTTTCATTCAGGCACAATAACTGCCTAATCTTTGTATCTTAGATATAATATTCCATGACTCGACTTTTCACAAGTTTACCATATATATTTTTTGTCAAACAAGAAATTTTTAATTTATTTTCTTCAGTTGTTGGGTCATTGCTGTCTTTGCGTCTTATGACACAATTGGTTTCATACGCATATTATTTGAAAGAATGCAGATTCACAGGCACTTTAAAAAGTAGAAACATACATTCCATTCCTCTTATTTCTCCTTTTTTTATTATAAAACTAATTTATTGTTTTTAAATTTAAATAAAAAATATCAAATCATGGGTGTTGTGTAGGTTTTTGCACATTGAAGGTGTAAGCATAAAAACAAAAAATAACCCAATTTCTTTTCGTGGCTCGTAGGCTAGAAACAGCATAATACCAATTGCAAGCAATATATCTAAACGTTATTAGTATATGTGCGGGACTAATTTGAATGTATTCACAGAATCGGTGCTTTAGTTGAAAATGTGCTGGCGGGCCGAATCGTGTACTTTATCGATGATTTCTAAGCTTATATGTTATGTTCTCCGTGTCCTTTTGAATTTGTACGTTTTCTAATCAACACATTTGAATGATGGGTACTTGCACGATCAAGTGCAAGTTGGATTCGAAATGATTTTTGCACACATTTTAAGGAAATGTCACTAAGTTCCTGTACTCATGTGGTTATCCACTTGGTATGAATCTGGTACCACCATGCTAAAAGAAATTATGGATGCTGCTGCTCTCGTGACAGTAAAATATGATTCCGCCCCTCATTGTTTTCTATATATTATTAAAACGAACAATGAATTATTGACATGTGATTGTTTGAACACTCAACTAACACTTCTCATTTTGTTTCTTTCTATTTCTACTACATTATCTTGCATACGTGGCGTCTAAAACTCAAGTTTTGTATTGAAACTATCCAACTACACAAGTCACTTGTTCCCGCAATATTTTCCCGATGGTTGAACTTTTATTTATGCACCAGAGTTGGTTGTGTTGGACGATAGTTTATATTATATCCAATGGTTTTCTTCCACCAAGCAAAGCCCGGAATTAGGGATTTATTTATTGTTTAAAGGTTTAATCGGACTGAATTTGGAATGATTGTAGTTATGATATCCTAACTCAGCTACTTAAGCATCATAATTTCTTTTATGTTAATAACTCATCTTTTAAATTGAGTGACGAAATATCTTAGAAGAATCTTGTCTGATAAATGTTTTATGCATTTTGAATATGAATGGATCACACAGACACAGGAACTTTCAATGCCTCTAAAATCTTATCATCTAGCTCGAACTGGATTGACTTCTTATCTCTCCCAATCTTTACGTACTCCTCAAACCGTTCTTTTAGGTCTTCAGGGAGGTTTGTGGTTGATTGCCATCCCAATTTACTTTTGGCTGCTCTAGGTTCTGCATAGAAGTGCTGCATAATACATAAAGATGATTGTGTGAATGGTTAGACTATAACCAATAAGATTGTATAACTGAAGCTTGAAAAAATTGTCCGTATCTGTACATAACTATGCATGAGCTTAACCAATTCGTTCAATGATTTAGGTATTTTTATTGCAAGAATTCATAACCATGTACGTCTAATTTTTCTGCATGCAAAACAAAGCAGAAGTGATTAACAAGGGGGCATTACCCACCCTGTCCTGTTAATCACTGCAATGATTTGTGTTTAGCAGTAGTATGTTTCCATGCATTATGTGATCAGGTTTAAAGTATACGAGAAGATAGGGTATTAGTAACAACATAGGTGCGGAAAGGGAAAGCTTTCTTTGCATCAACTCCAACAGCTTTTGGATCATAATGCACTATGTTGACAGGGCGTCCTGCAGCTTGAGCACACAGCTTGGCGATTCCGTCTAGCGTCACTGCACGGTCACTGACAATGTTGAAAATGTTATGATTTGCAGCCTCTGGGTTCTCAACAGCTAGAGTGAGCATTGAGGATAAGTCCCTAGCATGAGCTAGGTTACTGAGTTGCAACCCCGAGCCAGGAATTGGCACAGGTCTATCCCGAACAATCCCTACAAATATGACAATGCACATGTTTGAAACAAGGCTTCATATATGCATTAAAGGTCAATAATAAAGTTTGTTTAAGAAGTTCGTTCTTACTATCAAAAAACCACTCCTCACAGTCTTTGTTGTTGCCAGACCCAATAATGTACTGTGGTCGGAACACTGCCCAACTTCCAAAAGTTTCTTCTATGTATTTCTCCACTCCAACATGACCAGCATCTGCTTTAACAGCATCCTAATCCACAGAGCATTTTCAGTTCAATTTTATGCAATCGCCAATGGGACAGTGGATTTACAAATACTAATGGTGAATATAAGAATATTCGACATACCCCTTCAACGTGTGGAGGTTCATCTGTTGGATTGTAGATTCCAGCACTACTAATGAACAAGAATTGCTTGACACCTGCACTCTTAGCCCACTCAATCACCGGCCTAAAAGTGAAAATTGTTATTTATGATGTCTGTGTTAGACATTGCATCTACTGATGTCCATGAATGTTGTTTCTTTAAAAGAATTCCAAGAATTGCATTGTGCTAGCATGGAACTAAAACAAATTGTATTTTTTGCATGCCACTGAAGTCAAGCATTGCACACATGTGAAGAAGAATTAATACAACAAACCTCACAGTCTCAAGATCTTTGCCATTGTTGTCCAAGACCACATCAAACACTTCCCCTCCTACAACACTCCCCACTTCAGAAGGATTTCCCCATACAGTGCGCCCTCCAGCACTCACAATTTCCTGATTGTTTCTCAAATCACTCAATTAAATCTTGGTTCAATTATTGGAATTCACAATATTCATTCAATGCAACTAGCTTAATCCCGAAAACATGAAGAAGCCCAAGAAAAAAGAATTTACTAAAATTAAAGATCACTAACTGAGAATCTGTTAAAAGGAGGTTTTTTCATCTTGTCTGAGCCTTCTTCACCAACAGTGAGTATGGTGACTGAGTGGCCAGCACCAAGAAGCTCCTTTGCAAAGTAAAAGCCAATAATGGCATGCCCGCCACTATTGGTATTCACGATGAGCACCTTCTTCTTCTTAGCAGCACTGGCATTGATGGTGAAGGCAGAATGATTGACAAAGTGTCTAGAATTTGAAGAATTGTGTGATAAAAAGGTGGGAGAAATTGATAGAGAGGAGGAGGAGGAGGAAAGGGAAGATGAGAAAGAAAGGCGCGATGTAGAAGGGTGTGAAAATGGAAGGAGGTTGGAAGATGATGCAGAGAGGAGCACAGTGGATGAGGAAGAAGCAATGGTGGCCATTGGTAGTTAAATTCTCTTCTTTCAGGGACCGTGAGAACCTGTTCCAGATAAAGCTAACTAAATGCCTACCATCCTCATTTCTCACTACCAACATATGTGGTTATAAATGCTACGAGAATTTAATCTTCATTGATCAATTTTTCTAATCAAAGAGGCTAAAGTAATATGAACATAAAAAAATTCCACAAATCATGATTTTTTTTTAATTGAAGACTTTTTTGTTTTTAATTTGTTATAATTAAAAAAAAAACCTAATATATATTATAACAATTGAGATCTATAATAATTGTTTTTGACTGATTTTAATAAATGTCATGAAAAAACTAAAGTTTAACTATTTGTTTAGTTCTCCAGCTATAAACCATTATTTTTTTCAGTTTCTATATTTGAAGACATTTGTTATTCTAAATACACAAAGTTACAAGAGTTGTTAAAATTATATAGAGCAAATAAATATTTAATAAAAAAATAGAGTGGTGTTAATTTATTTGAACAAATTTTATAATAAACTTATTTAATAAAATAATTGAACTAAATAAAAAGAAATGAGGTTGATGTAGATAGTGGTTCTTGGGGGGCGAGGTGAAGATGAAGTTGTAGATAAAGAGAGGATAAACAAACCGGATTTCAGTGACGGAGGGACATTGGTCTCCAATACCAATAACGCAATATCCCTTCTCTTCTTTTGATCCAATCCATGCCATGGTACCTTGTTCCGTCACAGCTGCTTCTTCGTCGTCACTTCTCGCCGCAATCATCCCACGCCACACCTCCTTCTCTCGCCCTTCCTCTCTCCCTCTCCGCTTCTCGCGTGCTTCTCCCGTCAACTCCCTCTCCAATGGCTCCTCCGCCCAATTCAACCCTCAACTCTTCAGCCCTAGCGATCCACCGCAGCCTCGAACCCTGTTCCCCGGCGGCTACAAGCGCCCCGAGCTTAAGGTCCCCACTCTCGTCCTCCAATTGGACTCCGACGAGGTCCTCGCCGCCGACAATCACGCCTTCGCGTTAATTGACGAAGCCGTCTCCAAATGGGTTGGTATTGTCGTTCTTTCTAGCAATGAACCAAGTGGTGGCAAACTCTACCAAGCTGCATGCTCCTTGAAATCACTGCTTCAAGACCGCGCGTATTTGCTAGTCGCCGAGCGCGTCGATATCGCCGCTGCCGCTGCCGCTAGTGGAGTTTTGCTCTCTGACCAAGGTTTTTTAACTCTCTACTTACTCCCGAAATTAGTATATATGGTCTGTTTGACGGATCAGAACTTCTAAAAATGATAATTTGAAGAAAAATTAGATTCTCCAAAAGTTTCTAGCTTTAGAGCAGCATATTTCATTTGTTTTTATTATTTTACTTTCCGAAACATTCTTAGAAACTCCTTCGGAAAGTTGATATGATATTACTGCATGTTCATACTACCGAGCAACACAATTCAAGTTGGTTTAGTGCATGGTTTAGTTCAGATATTAAAACTGCAGGTAGTGGATCTGGGCACATGGAAACCAATTCAAACTTTTAGAAATTTGTTTTATGTAGAGTAATTTTATAGTTATAAACTTTTATGTTGTACAAGTCTATAGGTCTGATTTTTTTTTTAATACTATTCGTTAATTTTCTTTCATTTAATTATACTTTCCTGTTTTTTCTTTCTTTTTCAATATGTTATATTTTTTCAATGTGTTTTATTTTTCATTAATAGACACAAGGACTTGACCAGACCTGACCTGAATCAATGTGATGATGGGGTTGATTGGAAACGGGTTTTTAAACAAAATTTGAAAAACCTAAACCAACTCAAAAGGATTAATCTTGAAAAGTGTGGGTCAATATTTCCTATCACTATCTTAAGTGCCACACGCTATCTGAGTTTTTCAATTTACAAAATAGAATTAATAAAACTATATAAGTGTCGCTACTAGAAATTGACCAGGACCATGGACACGTGGTGGTGTTGAACATATAATAATCTCTCTATCTCTCTCTTAAGCATTTTGTCTAGCAGCTTTGCCTGATTTAATGGGAAATGTCTTTGAATGTAATTTTATGCAGGTCTTCCGACTGTTGTTGCCAGGAATACGATGCTGGATTCGAAATCTGAATTGGTTTTTCTTCCCTTGGTTGCTAGGATTGTTCACACCATGGATGCTGCAGTGAGTGCGTCTAAATCAGAAGGTGCTGATTTTCTTATATACGGCGGTAGTGACCTACAGCATGTTATCCGGGAAGTTGGTTCTGTGTGTGAGAGTGTGAAGATACCTATTTTTGTTTCATGTGGAAAAGATAGTATGTCTTATGCTGACGTGTCAGGCTTGCTGGCCTCTGGTGCTAGTGGTTTTGCTACTAGTTTGGCAAATTTTGGTTTGTATGGTGATGAGTTTTTGCACAAAGTTTTTGGCACAGTGTATGCAAGTAATGATGGTGGGAATATGAGTGAGAATAACTTGAATGTAGATAATGGTTTTCAGAGTGAGACGGAGGTTGTGGCTGGGTTTGTTAAGCTGGAGGATAGGGAGAAACAGTTAATAGAAACAGAGAGATTGGTGTTGAATGAAGCTATTGAAGTTATCAAGAAGGCTGCACCTCTGGTGATCTTTTAATTAGAACATTTGGTATTTGAAGTAATTCTTTTTCTAGTTATTCTGTGTTTTAACCAGTATATCTTTTACTTTGTGTTGAATTGGGATTGGTTTCAAATGACAGATGGAGGAAGTTTCTCTTCTTAATGATGCAGTCTCTCAAATTGATGAGCCGTTCTTACTGGTTATAGTGGTAATTGTGTGCTGAATCTCAACAAATTCTGGTTCCTGGAATATACATTGGTATTAGCTCTAAATTTCAAAAAGAAATCTTCTTTTAATACATCTAGATAGAAACTAATTAACTAATAAGTGCAATTTGTTGTGAAAATTCTCTGCTCTTAATTAGCATGAGCATCTGATTACCTTCTCACCTAAACATTTAAGATAGTGGTTACCTATGGTTTACTTGTGGCGAGTAGTGAGTTCTTCTGTCTTTACAAACTTCAGAAACACTATTGTCTTCAGGAGGGCCTTTGTTCTTATTTTTCTACTTGGAACAATGCTATTTGGTTGGTTTTTCCTGTTTATCCAGTTCCCCTTTACTGTTTATTCTAGTATTTCAATTATAAATGAAAAGGGAATTAATTAGTTGAAATGCTAAAATCAGCTGCTTTCTATATAGACTTTTCATATAGGCTTCAAACTTGATGTCATGCCTTTTATCTTTCTGTCTTTTTTTTTTTTTTTTAAATCGTGATATTACCAGGGGGAATTCAACTCTGGTAAATCTACCGTGATTAATGCACTTCTTGGAGAAAGATATCTCAAAGAGGGAGTTGTTCCAACAACCAATGAGATCACATTTTTACGATATAATGACTTAGATGTCGAACAACAGCGGTGTGAAAGACGCCCAGATGGCCAATATATTTGCTACCTTCCTGCTCCAATTCTTAAAGAAGTAAGTCAACTTCTTATAGTTTGTTCCTGACATCCTGTTTATGTGTATGAGGACTTCCTTTTTTTATCCCTCTAATTACTATTTTCTGCTTGATGGTAGAAAGTTAGAATGTTCTAAGCTGTTGTTTTTTCTTTTGCAGATGACAATTGTTGATACACCTGGAACTAATGTGATACTTCAGAGACAGCAGCGTCTTACCGAGGAATTTGTACCCAGGGCAGATTTACTTCTTTTTGTCATTTCTGCTGATCGGCCTTTAACTGGAAGTGAGGTATGGTCAGTCGATGTGCATGGGGCACAATTTCTTACTCTAGTTTGTATTGGTTATCATTAGCCGGGCAGGGGTATCATGGGTTGTTTTATGTTGTTTTCAGATTGCTTTTCTTCGTTACTCTCAGCAGTGGAAGAAGAAAGCGGTCTTTGTCTTGAATAAAGCTGACATTTATCAGAATAATCAGGAGGTATATGTTGTGTTTTGATTCTTATTAGTTATTGGCATACAGATATTATATCAATGGGTTATTTTGTAGTGAAGTTGCTGAACTAGGTTTAGATTATATTTTTACAATTTACTGCAGCTTGAGGAGGCAATGTCCTTCATTAAGGACAACATACAGAGATTGCTGAACTCTGAAAACGTCATATTGTATCCTGTATCTGCTCGGTCTGCTCTTGAAGCAAAACTTAGAGCTACCTCCAATGTTGGGAGGCTAAATGAAGAATTATCAACCTCTGATTCTCATTATGGTGCCAGCAGCTTCTTCGAACTTGAAAACTTCTTGTATAGCTTTCTAGATGGGTCAACAATCCCAGGAATGGACAGAATGAGGCTCAAACTTGAAACACCTGTTTCAATTGCAGATAGACTAATATCTGCATGCGAAACTCTTGTGACACAAGACTACAGATATGCCAAGCATGATTTGGCTACAGTGAAAGACATTGTTAGTACTTTAAAGGATTTTTCTTTGGATATGGAAACTGAGAGCCTCTCTTGGAGGAGACAAACTCTGTCTTTGGTATGCTATAAGATGATTATACTTTTTTAAATTCAGGCTAATTTGATTTTCTCTTAATGGATATGTTCTTAAATGTGCCTTGGTACACATTCTCAGATTGAGACTACGAAATCACGAGTTATAGAGCTTGCTGAAACTAATTTGCAATTGGCTAATTTTGATATTATTGCTTCATACGCTTTCAAAGGAGAAAAAAATGCAATGGCCACGACCTCAAGAATTGAGAATGACATAATTGGTCCTGCTGTCTCAGCTGTCCAGGTTAGTTTCTGCATGTAACCTATATAGGATTATAGTTTTGGTATTGCATTGTTACCATCTTGTTTGATTTTGAACCTAGTGAATCGAGATCATTTTGCAATGATTTTTACTCTTGCTTATCAGAATGATTTGATTCAACTATCCACCTGCTTTTGATTGTTATAGCTCCAATAGGGTCCAGACATCAAATGACATAAATGATGGTTAGATGAATAATGTTTTATGAGTAGAAGTTAGGTGCTAATGTTATGCTAAAATAATTTTTTATTCATAGAAAATACTTGAAGAATATGAAAATTGGTTATATTCCAAATATACCCATCAAGGCAGACTATACAAGGAATCCTTCAATAAACGGTGGCCCTCCTTGAGCCATGAAAGTATTCAGATGAATTTTGAGACAGAAGGGTTGCTAAAGAAAGTGGATCAAGCTGGCAGTCAGGTTATTGACAATTTCAGCAGCAGTGCAGTTTCAAAGTCATTTGAGCAAGAAGTACGGGAAATGGTAAGCTTGAACTTCTTTGTAAATAATATAGAACTGTTTTTTCTTTAAGGCATTTTAGTGCAATTTGGTTTCCTTGTTTGAGAGCAGTTAAATTTTGGTCCTCTTGTTTCAATTGCTTTAGTTTTACTCACATGATTTGGAACAGATGCACGTATTCATCAGACTGCCTCAAATTGTAGGCAATTGGACTAATGTGAATTTGTTCCATAAGATCAAGAATACAGTCATGTCATTAAAAGAAGAAATAGGGCCCTTCCATCTCCATATCAGCAAAGTGTAATAGCCATGTAACCTCAATTAAACAACAAACGGATAGAGGAATATAGTTGAATCAATTTTAGAAATACCTGGGAAATATTACCAGTTACTTGGGGACCGTGCCAAGCTTATGTGGAACTAGGGACTAAATGTTTAACTAACTTCTCATCATTTTAAATGGAAATTCCGACTGTGTTTGGATGAGTGTTTGTAAAATTGATTTTGAATGAAATTGATTTTAGTTAAAGTTGATTTTCAAGTGAAGTGGTTTTTTGTTTCGATGCCTTTATCTTGAAAGCAAGTCAGCTAAAAATATTAGTGTAAATTTTTCAACCTAACATCAAAGCTACTTTTTATCACTTCTAGTCAAACTGAGGTTGAGGCAAATCAATTTTACTAGCAATAACAAAACATCTTTGATTCAAAATCAATTATCATGATCTGCGTCGTGAAAGTAAACACATTAAAAGCTATCTGGCCAAATTCTTGCTTTTCTCATTTAAATGTGACACTGATTAGATGGTGAGCTCTGGTGCAATGGTAAAGTTGTGTGTTGGTTACAGGTTGGTCATGAGTTAAATTCTGGAAATATTCTCTTTTCATATGCAAGGTAAGGTTGCGGGCGATGCCCCTCCTCTATACCTTCGTATTGCACTGGGGTATGTTAGGCTTTTAAATGTGTCAATGATTTGGAGAGTGGGATAATTGACTTTGCTCTGTGTGAAATATAATTTTGTGGAAGAGCTGAATCAACTCGTATCTAACAATGAGTTTGAAGGATGTCTAGGCTATTCAGAAAGAGCTATAGTTAAATGTGGTGCTACCGTGCTAGTCAGTTGTTGTAAAAGCCTCAAAACTGCATGACTGATTATAGGAATTGTCACAAGTTGAGAAATAATTATTATTACTGCAGTACTTTGTCAGGTTGCTGCCTTATATTTCCATTTTTATTATAATTTTGCAATGCCACAAATGAGGCAAGTTGTCCCTAGAATAGTTTTTGTGATCTCTGAAAATTGGGTATATTTAGTCTGTGTTGATCCTGCAATCCATATTCTAATGTGAATGATGTCTGAACCTTTCCGTGTTGTAAAATATTATATTTAACTTTTTCTCTGGGATTTGAGGTTTAGCATTATGTTATTTTTATTGTTATTGTCTATATGCCAATCTGATCTGAAATATTTTCCTTTTAAATTAGATTATAGGGACTTTTGGTCAACTAGGTGTCGCTGGTTTATCTGCTTCGCTACTGACATCTGTGCTGCAAACCACATTGGAAGATCTTCTTGCTCTTGGTATTTGTTCAGCTGGCGGGTAATATACTCAATTAGAGAATTAGAGTTCCTTTCTGATTGCTCAGGGTTTTGTTTCAAAACGTTTGCATACATTGTCATTGATGAGACATCGATCCATCTTATTAGACCGATCAGAATATCCATTACTGCAACATGCACCGTTACCGCAACAGGAACATAAACATCCATGATTCAACTCAATATCAGACTCTTAACCTGCTTCATAATCATCAATCATAACACCATATATTTTATACCCCATACATCATGCATCTAATAGTTCAGAAACTTTTTATTTTTTCAAGAAATCTCTGTATGATGGCTAAAGAGGTTACATGATTGGGTAGTCCACTAGCTTCTAATAAATATCTGGATTGACATTTCTTTCTATGGCAGGTATCTAGCTATATCAACTTTCCCTGGTCGCAGGCAGAGGGTGATAGATAAAGTGAAAAGAAAGGCAGATAACTTGGCATATGAACTAGAAGACGCGATGAAAAAGGATTTGACTGAAGCCATAGAGAAATTGGAAACATTCATGGAAGTCCTTAGCAAACCTTACCACGATGAAGCGCTGAATAGAATTAACAGGCTAGTAAAGATTCAAGAAGAATTATCAAATGTCGAGAAAAAACTTAGAACGCTACAAATTGAGATTCAAAATCTTCATGTCTCGTGACTTTAGACAATCCTAATTAGTTAGTGTCCCTTCTAACGGTGTACCTGCCTCACAATTTTGGAGTATATTATCGTCAATTCGATTATGCGAATGGAAACTTGTCAACTCGGACTACGGTTCTCCCATTTGTTTTATTATTTTTCTGAAGCACAATAAATTTTTAATATTCACAAAATTTTGTCCATCCATTTTTTAAAACCTGTCTCTAAATTTTCAAGTGACCATACTGTTGGAAAACAACTGACACAGAGATGATGTGCCTAAGTAACGAAAGAAAAATTCATAATAGTAATGAGCACCCACGTAAATTTTTTCCAACTTCCAAATATTTGCGAGGAGTTGAAAAGAAAAGAAAAGAGTATAACAGAAAATCTAAGAAGAGCATCGTATATAGATTATTAATTAATGTGGAAAATTATGCATAAAAATCATGAGCATTTTAGATCAAATGAAAAAGATTTACTATCATTAATAAATAATATGGTCTCTAACAAATTTATAAAATCAATCAAAACAAATCAAATATCAATATTTATTGTTTTTATCGGATGGGTAGAGGTTGATGAGAAGATATGAGATTGGACAGAGAAGATTGGTAGATTGAATTTTAAGTTACAATTTCAAGATGGTTGAAAGTAACTTCTTTTAAAAAGAGTAGAGACTCACCTACAAAAGACACTCTGACGTTCAAGTAAGTTTTTAGATAAGAGAGTAGTGTATTTGAGAATGAGTGATAATGTGAGATTTACTCCCTCATTGAGTCTCCTTATATAGGATTCAGAAAATAATAATAACTCAAGATAATAATTAATAACCCAAAAGATAATAACTTATACAAGATAACATATATAAGATGACATGTAAAAGATAATTAATAAAATATAATTAATAAGATAATGTATAAAGAGATAATTAAATAAAGTGGTTTTAATGGATTTGAGTTGGGTAAGTACATAAGCATCCAAGTTCGGAGGCCGAGTTCCTTTAGGAATAGAGGCCAAATGAGTTTACGATTGAGTTGATCATTTCATTATGTAGATGAGTATTGTTCAGTTTGAACGTGTTTGTTATTTGATTAGACCAAAATATATTTGTGAGATTAACTCAATATAACCTATTTGTTTGTCATGCAAAGATAGAGTCGAAAGCTTTAGGAAGGAGAGAGGAGCTCGATAAAGCTCTCATCAACTCCCGAGCTCAAGAAGATCATCTTCTGAAGACTAAAACTTCATTGATTTGGACAATGATTTACATTTGTCATATGCATGTATTATGATTATGAAGTTACAAATCGTCTCATTCATAGATTGTGCAATTGCTAGTAAACTATGCAAATGTTAGACTTGTGACTTCGATTAAAGTTTTTAAGATGCAGATTTTGATAATTTGTACACCCAAATAAGGTATGTATACTTGTCTGATCCCTTAAGTTAGGTAGATGTAAGTTTTGATAACTCATACTTTAGTAAGACATGTATAACTCATGTGATTCCGAGTAAGGTAGATGAAAGTTTTGATAACTCATAAGGTATGTATAACTCATGTGACCCCGAGTATGGTAGATGCAATTTTTTATGTAACTTGGGTCTACATGATGTGCAGGGTTTATATAACTCATTTTCTGAGTGGAATATATCTCGTGACTCGTTTTTTTGAATTAGGTGTAATTTTATTCTCATTTCTCTGAGTGAAATGTATTTTTACACTTGTTTGACCCCGAGTAAGGTACATTTTTATACTCATGTGACGTTGAGTAAGAAACATTTTTATACTCATATGACCTTATGTAAGGTTATATTATATTTTTATACTCGTATGACCCCGAGTAAGGTTATATTACATTTTGTACACGTGACCCCGAGTTAGGTACAACTTTTATACTCATGTTGTTAACTTGCGTAAGGTATATTTTTTATAAGGTTTACAACTCTGAGCCATTATGAATGAAGTGTGTAAGAGAACCAGATCGGATGAGTTCCTCTATTATATCTTTGACTCATTGGCACTGGTCGGTAGTACGCCCGTAATTCTGATGAAAATATTGTATTTGGTGGTATCAGCATGAGCTGAAGATGGTAGAGGTGGTGGTGCACAAACCAATTCAAGTTTAAAATTGTCTTGTAATATGTATTCTCTACTATCATTCAGAGGTGTGTAATGTTCATACTTAGCTATCTTAGATTTTTTTGAGAATTGGGTCAAGTACGTTCGAGGAGAGGTATCCTTTCGTTTAAATAAGGCGTTGTTGTCTTTCATACGGATATAATTAGTTGCTTGAGCGCACAGTTCGTCAAGGGTTTTCGGTGGATAAACGAAATAACTATCAATCAAGGATCTGGGTTGTAAAGCGACTTATATTGGTGTAAGGCAACAATAGGGTGCAAATTCAGTATACAATTTGATACTTTAGTGAATCATTTCATGAAACTGTAGAGGGATTCACCCTCAGACTTTCTAAAGCCACCGAAATGGCTTCATGCATATTACTGTTACAAACCTAACTCGAAACCTTTTTGCTAAAATGTAGTATGAATCGATAGAGTTATAAGGTAAAGAGTTGTACTATCATAAGACTGGTTCTCACAAAGTGGTAGGAAAAACTTGACACATGACTACTCTGTTGTTAATATACAAATTTACTCATGCTTTGTACATTGTTAAATATTCTTTTGGATCTGTCGAGTCACCATACTTCTCTAACATGAGTGGTTCCCAGTTAGTTGGGAGAGAGGTTTCCATGATTCCTATAATGAATGAGTGATCGTTATCTTCCTTGTGAATTTCGATTCTTCGCATATGCTAGGAATGTCTAGGTTAAAACCGAGGTTATGCTTCCATTACAGGTTCTCCCAGAGATAGTAGTTAAACAATTGCTTTGTTAGTGTGCTTGCATTTGACATTCTCCCTTAAGTGACTCCTTCTTACTTGAATTGGTGGCTTGACATTTTGTCCATAAGGGTTTTTCGACTTGTGTTTGGGTTGACTTTTAGCTTTCTTCGATTATCAAATCATTAAGTGTGTTTTGATGGTTGGTGTTAATGACTGTTGGATTCGCGCTTGACTCGGTACTGTGGTATCTTCCAATTGCATGTTCAACCTAGTCATTCGAGACTATTTGATGAGGACCTTTAATTCATTTCGTAAAGTTTGGAGCTCGGTCTGGTGTTGTTTTTGGACCAACTCCAAGTCTTTTACTGCTTTTTGTTGGATTTGCAAGAGTTTAACGTCATTCTGTTATTGCAAATTTTTTATCTCCTCATGATTTCTTTGTTGACATTGGTTCATATGTTTTTTGAGGTTGTTAAGGACAACTATGAGACCCACATCGTCGTTTGAATTTGATATTGCCTGGCTTCAAGTTATGATCATGGAATGGAAGAGATTATGGTGATCGTTTTACCGAGCCCCACAGTGAGCGACAAATGTTCTTACTAGACTAGTGGAGGTTGGTAAAAGGGTGTAAGTTTGGACTGAGGAAATTGGTAAATTAGATTTTGAGTTGCGACTTTAAGATGGCTGAAAATAACTTCCTTTGAAAAGAACAGAGACCCACTTGCAAAAGACACTTCAATGCTCAGGTTAACTTTTAGACAAGAGAATAGTATATTTGAGAATGAGTGATAAGGTGAGATTTACTCCCTGATTGAGTCTCTTTATATAAAACCTAAAAGATGATAACTGATACTTCAAAAAATAATAATTGATATAAGATAACATATAAAAGATAATTAATAAGATAATATATAAAAAATTAAATAACAATGTTTACAAATAAGAATACCATTTCTCCCTCCTTAAATCTAAAATCTCTAATTGACTATCAAACCATTATAAATAAAAAATCTCTTCTTTTAACATGTTGTCAAAAATCAACCCGTTGATGTGGTCAATAAATTTCTAGTTATAAGTTGAAAATTTGAACTTTAGTAGGTAGCAGAAAATCACAATGATTTTTTTTTCATCAATTTCTCACTATTTATTGTCATATTTATTAATGAATAAATTAATTCTAATTTGACCATATTTCACTTAAATTAGTAAATCAATCGAGTTGTGCACTTTTGATATTACTATTCATATAAGAAGCGATATAAGAAAATTCAACAAAATCTCTCCTCCTAAACTATATGAAGGGCGACCATGTAACAAACTTCAAACTTTCATCTAAGTAAGGTTGATCATCATATAAGCTTCATTATCACAAATATAAAATACTTTGCTAACTTTAGCAACTTAAAATCCGAAACATCCTTTTTCTAAAAATACCTCGTATTAATATACTTATATCTTGAATTAAAAATTGAATTCTCATCAAGATGAATGATACTTTGACCATCCACAAAGAGTAGTTTTTTTTAATAAAATCAAACTCTAACAACAAAATTTTCATCCATAACAACTTCTTGCATGTTTTAGTCATGATAATGAATTCTACATCTATAGTAGACAAAACTACACTCCTCCGCAGCCTAGACGATCAAGTCACAATGTCACTTGCAAAATTAATGAAATAATTTAAATAAACTTTTTGGAATCAATTGTCTTTAGCTACATTTGAATTTGGGTGACCCATCAACATAGGATTATCACTATCAAAACAAAGTTTCAGCTCAACAATATCATGGAGATATTTCAAATTCATTTAATAGCATTCAAATACTCTCAACCTAGGTTTGACATAATCTACTAACTACACCAATAATGTATGTTATATATGGTCTTGTGTATAATATTGCACATATAAAACTACCCACCAAATATACATAGGAAATATGTTGCATGTTTAATTTCTTAACTTCATTTTATAAACTCTTTTTAGAACCCAAGTTAAAACTAGTAGCAAGAGGAGTGCTCACTAATCTCCGTAACACTTTTTCAATATAATGTTCCTATGACAACCAAAGTTTTTTCTTCTTTCTATCATGAAATTTGTATACCAAGAATATGTTTGTCAACTCCCATATCCTTCATAAAAATGACTTGTGTAATTTCTTCACGAA